CAGAGCATGTGCAGGCAACTAATTGAAATCTCAAGCTTGTCAAACAAAAAGCATGTTGTTTAAGAACAATAAATGAAATCAAAAGAAACTTCACAAAATTACACAAACACAACTTCCTCAAGCGAATTTCATACTCAACATACTCTCAGTTTCATTTAACAACTCTCTTTCAAATTCAAGCCCAAGAACCCATGTGCAGTCAGTAAGTTTAGAACAGAAAGCATACTCTACAGAGAAGTCTCACAGAACTCCAATCTGAACCACCACACCATTCACAAAAAAATGCTTCCATATAATAAATATTGGTTCTCCATCTCTACAGTCACCATTTTGGCAATCATTGCAACACATTTATCACCCAACAAGGTTTGCTAGCACATCCTATTCCACATATTGCATGGCATGAATACTAAACACTCTCATTCTTCGCTATTAGATGGGAAGTTACAACTACAAGGATATAATCCTCAAAAGCTTTTCCTGCACTCGCAGCTTAGATACGATACTTCAGCCAAATGAACCAGCAAACATCATTGTAACAATGATCCAAAAGCTACCAGGTATCGTAAGCTCTAAGCTAATTGAAAATCATCCAAAACAAAATTAATTCAGAAAACAGCCAAAAAGGCACAATACAAAATAGAAAGATTACATTTGCACTTTTCTGTGCATCCACCAATTTACGAAGGTCAGATGCTTCTTGTTGAAGCAAGGATAAAGCTTGTGATGTCTTTGTCAACTCCTGAATTGTCTCTGATTGTAGAATAACCTAGAAAAACAGAAGTTTAAAAAACACCGGGAAAAAAGAGAATTTCAGTCGGATCCATGCACCTGATCATAATAGGCATGATTGTTATAAATAATTTTATTAAATAGAAACATTTTCCAAAAATTAAGAGATACACAAATTCAACAAAAACCAAATTCTACACTACAAGTGGGGATAGAACTCGCGTCCTTTATGCACAAATTTAAATACTAAAAATAAGAATAAACTAGCAAATCAACCTGTCTTTCATAATTGGCTTGAGCAGCACGCCAACGTTCATGCTCCTTTTCCAAATCCTCTTTCAAAGCAGAAATTTGAGATTCCAACACTACAATTTGAGAGCTGCAGGCAAATGGCCTAATGAGAGAGTTCTTAAGGACTACACAAAAAAAAAACACACACACAAATGCAATGGAGTATATCTCACGTTTTACTACAGTTTTCTTCCTTCAAACAGGTAATTTCTGCCAAAGCAGAAGCAAAAGCCTCAGCTTTTCCTACAGCTGCAGAGGCCACCTCTTCAGACTTCTTACTAAATTCTCTGTCGAGTTCTGAGATCCTCCCCCGAAGAGAAAGAAGTTCATTTTCTAGTGACTCCTTTAACTTCTCTGACTGTTGGATATTAGAAAAGCACCATTTTTAGAGAGGATGTATTTGGGTACTTGATATTGCTGAGAAATTCAACGCTTCGGGCTCGTGTAACAATGACATACCTCTTTCTTGAAGTTTTCATGGGCATCTTCCATTTGCTTTAGAGCAGTTTCATTCACCTGTGCTATACTCTTATACTGCAATGAAATATGTAAGGTGCAATTACTAACCTTCTTGAAAAAATATTGACTTCTTATGCGAAGTGAATTGTTATAGGTGTCATCAGGTGTTTTACCTGTAGCATGTGCTCCTTGCTAGCCCGAGCTTCCTCCTTTAATTTTTGTATCTCGTCCTTTGCCATAAGCAAATCCGTAACAACCTTGCACACATTTGGAAAAAAAAAAAGTTAGACTAAACAATACTCTAGACTTTCCAAAAAAATAGCTAATTATCAACAAATAACACATTTAATTAGAATATGACAGTGGGCCTCCAAAAAGAACATGCAATGTACATGCCAAAACAATATCGGTACTGATAACACAGAAATATCCAAATGAAATGATTCTGCCCTAAACTTGTATTCAAAAGGTATGTAACCCATTAAGCATCACTATAAACTTGTAGAGCATATTGAACTAGACATGTTCATACATAAATTTTATTTGATAATTACACAATTTATAGAAAAATGCAATAAATTGATCAAAGAGGGATGGGATCATGATAACAATCCAGCTCACTTCAATATTATTCAGCTGGTGTTTCATTTCTATAGTTGTATATTGTCCCATGGATTCAAAACTTAATCGAACAAATACAAGCTATAAGGAAGAGAATTTCACATCAAAACATGAAGCCATCCAAAAATAAAATAAAAGGACTCTAAAATTGTGACAGAAGAAAATTTAAGTAGACAACAATGTGTTTTAGTACAAAGCTAATATATGTTAATCAATCCTCTAAAACCTTCTTCTAAAGTGGAACATGACAAAACATTGGTTATCAAATTATCATGCACGAGCACAAGCAAAAAGTCAAATAGGAACTACCAATAATTAACTCCACTGACCTCAGTAGCTGAAATAGAAGAAGATATGCCACTGTCATTCATACTAGCAGCCTGAATCATCATGAAGTGAAAGGTTGGGTGAGAGAAACAATTGGATTTAAAGGCATATGAAAAATGCACACTATAAAATAATACCACTGACAGTCTTAATCATTTTGATATCGTATTGAATAAAACAACAATATTTTATTGAGAGAGAGCAGATCATTGATCAGAGAATAAATGATTGACAACATTGCAGAAAAGTGACAAATCAATGAAGAACTATTGTATTCAACAAAGATACTTATAATAAAAAAAAAAAATTCTAAACAACAAAACAACTAGAATCTGGGGAAGGCATACCTTAGCATCCGAAACTTTCATCTTCTTCTCCAGCTCGGAGAGTTTGGTCTGATAAATATCAAGAAAAGGGACAATCAGATGATGCTCCATTAGATTAAAAGAAACATGTTTGAGCTTAAAGTACAGAAATGAAAAAAAAGTACTTAGGCATCAAGTTGCAAAGCAATAAGTACCTCAGCAACAGCAGCCCTAGTTTCAGCAGCAGAAACAGCATGCAACGTATTAGCCAATTCCTTCCCCATGTCATCAATTTGCCTCATGGCATTCTTCAACGTCTGTTCACGGTCAGATGTGAGAGCTCTAACATTGTCCCGCTCCTGTTGCAGCTCTTTCTTGGCCTCAGTCCATTCCCTCTACAAGAATAATATTTAAGCAAAGCATCCAATTAAATCATTTTATCTAGCACGATACAGCACTACAAGACTACTTTGTTGATATTATGCATTAGTGTTTGCCAAAGAGTGGTAAAAGCAATGATTTAGCAGACAGTTTATGTTCACCCAAGCAATGCCATATAAAATCAATGAACTCTGAAGAAAAATTAGCAACCTGGGAGACAAAATAAAAGCAGCACAATTTTCAGTAATAAAAAGCTGTTTACAAGGAAATTTTGTGAAAACAAGAAGCAGACACATCTTTTGCATAAATAAACCATTGATCAATTGCAAACTAAACACACCTCAATTTTTTTTACATACTCCTCTTGTTTCCTCTTCTCAGCAGCTCTTGCTTCCTATAGTTTCCAGGAAGAAAATCAGGTGTAATAACACTCAAACCAATTCAAAATACAAGAACACATGATGCACAATCAAGACAACCAACCTCACGAGCCTCCTCGGCACTCTGAATAGTGTCCAAAGTAGCCTGCACACATTCAAAAAGATTAGAACACAAACACCAATTATTAGAATCGAAAGTTGGACTGCTACTTTTCAGACAGACCTGAAGGCGATAAACCCTCTCTGACAAACTACGAACTTCATCACATGCTCTCTTTTCAGCATTTGACAAGATCTCCTTTTCAAGCTTTAGAACAGACACCTGTCAAGAAGGAACATGTAATTACTCAAAATTATTCAATATTATCAAAATCAACAACGTTGGGATGAAAAATCTCGAACCTCCATATTTAACTTCCGAGAAAGTTCCTCAGATGCAACCAAATTTTCTGAACTTTCACGCAACTTTCTTTGATGGTCAACTATCAACTGTGAAAACTCCACATTTCTTGATAGAACACCATTCATTTCATTTCTCTGCACATAGAAAATGCAATCAGAACTACATAAAATAAACACTTTAACATGTGTCCTAATTAGGATAAATAGCATATCTTAAAGCACTAGTATAGAGGAGTTGACAGTAAATTTAAAAGTTCACCTGATGTTCAAATTCTTTCATAAAACTATCAAGTCTTTCTCTAGCAAATTTAGCATCTAGAGCCATCTTGTCACGTTCTGATCGTAGTAATATAATATCACTCCTGTCAACAGATAAAATGTACAGAATAATGCGGCAAATAATACAAAAGGACATAGCAGGGTATGTTTAAAAAAACAACACATTCAACACAAAGCAAACACCCTTTAGGAGTTATTTAAAAAAAAAGGAATGTTTCAACAATAATCTATTGTGTTTCTAAGAAAGGGAGGCAAGAAAGAGAGAGAGTGTAGCTTGAAAACGAGCATAAAAGATGAGATAGACATATTGGTTTTTACACTATAATAAAAACTATTAATGAGAGCAGCAATATTGGCTATTAAATAATGATAAAAAAAAATATCTGCTAAATACACCAAAATCCAGGGCCATGGTCTTCAAATATAAGCAAAAGCCATATGAATAGGCAAGAAATAAACACAACATAAAACTTCAGTTATTGATGCAAATACAAGCAGAGAATTTCCAGTATGCACAACCAACAAAGAAACCCAGAAAAGCAGGAATGTGAAATGATGGCAGTGGTAAACGCATATGTCAACTATAATCAACTGAGAATAATGAGCATCGCCATCAACATTTTTTCAGATCCATTCAAGTGCTTTTTATTTACAGGTAACAAGCTTAAAAAATTCAAAAGGTGTTGCATTTGAGTACATTGGAAGTAAACAATGGCAAACAAAATTTATTTTACAAGCAGAAGTCCGTAAAAGAAAAGGATATGAAAGTTACTTAGATTTCGCCAAATCTTCCTCAAGAGATCTTAATCGCTCAGCAGCCTTTTCCTGGGCCTTCTTAGTAGCTTCCTGTATTTTAATCATACGGAATACATTCAGAAGAATGATTAACATGACACTGGCTATCTTAAAAACTTCAGTATTGGCCGTACCTGATAATCTTCAAGCAGAAGTAAACGGTTCCTTCTTCCATCCTCTTCAACTGCATTGTTATCATTGAATCATGCATGAAAATCAGATGAGCATTTGGAGAGCACAATAACATCAAGTGACAAATAGATAAGAGAAGATCAAGTTGTAATGCAAAAAAAATCCTAGGTTGAAATGTTTCAGGGCTACAAACATTAACATGTCCAGTTAAGCAGTAACCATAACATACATATTTTTTAACACATATATTTGTGTTTAATGAAAGTAGGATATACTAGGAAACTATTGCAAAAAGAGGATATTAACAAAGTTGGAGACAGCATTTGAATGCTGTGGAGCATGAATCGAGAAAGGATACAAGGTACTCAACAGAAATCAACTGTGGTATGATGGATTGCCTTCCTCAAAACAATATAATGGAACATGATAAATTGATTTATCTCTTCCTGCCTTGTATAGATTATTAGATTGCAAATTTGGGTGATTAGTTTTAATCCTGTTGCTGGATTCATTACTATTTCAGTTAATGTTTTGGAAAAGAGATACATTTTCTTCCATGGGTCTGGAAAAAAAAAATTTCCAGAATACAACTCTTCTAATGCTATCATTGTTTTGGAAAAGAGATACATTTTCTTCCAAGGGTCTGGAAAAAAAATTCCAGAATACAACTCTTCTAATGTTATCACGTCACTCAAAATTTTTGAAGGATAATTCCATTAGTAGAAACCAAAATTGCAAAAACCACAAATGGCAAAGGATGCACGCACAAAACCATAAATGTAGATGAAGCAAGGCTCAGCTAAATAAGTGGGATGCCTCCATCTCCTTTAAAGTTTCATAAACTTTCCACTTCATTATCATCCAGCACATCAATCTATTGTTTGTTGTTCCTATGCATGAGCCATTCACACTAATACACTGTTGTTCAGAACAGAATGTAACAAGTGTCTTGGGACACAAAGCACAAGCATATGACTGGAAAAACTAAAGCACACATATTAAAACATGATGAAATTTTATTTCAAAAGTAATACCAGAAACATACAATAGAAAAGGTCAAGATAATACAGAATACCAAGTAGTTTAGCCTACTGGTGGGAAAGATTATAACGATTTGAAATATCAAGAATACTGCAAATTTCAAACGTACTTAAGATATTTATTTTTCATAAACATTGGACATCACAATGAACAATTCTCAATCAATAAGACTATGATTATCCAAACACATATGATGACTATCAAGATGTATATGAGTGCAAAGCTATAGAAAATATCTGCTCATGCTCCTAGCAAGATGAATATGAGTGCAAAGCTATAGAAAAATTTATCAAAACGCACCAAGGCAGAAAAATATTTAAACAAAAAGACTTTTGTTCTGTTATTTGAGATAATAAAGATGTATAAATAAATGCACAAGTCACCTATAAGAATAACAGAACACAGTAAGAGTTACGTGAGTCATCAGTGGTGAAATAGGTTGATCAATAGCCAAAGAATAGCAAAGCCACAAGAAGTTTATAATAGGAAATAATAGTGTGCTTCTGAGTGCAAGATACTTTAAAGAAAAGGAACAGTTTTTGAAGCATGAACAGGCAGTCAAACTGTAACGGCACTTTGCAATTTTTTGAGTAGTTTTAACAAAAACATCCAGCTGTCAGTTCTAATAAAGACAGCTACAGAAAACTTCAGTATAGAGATGTCAAACATGCAATAAACATAAGTAAGATAAGATGGAAAACCTGGAGCTGCATCTGAAGAGCGGGAATAAGATGAGCGAAGTTTGTGTTCCTCTTCATACAACCTTTTGTACATTGCAACCTATGCATGTGAGGAAAAAAAGAAATTGTGATGTTAATGGAAAGAGAACAGAAGTACGATTGAAGCACAATATGTTAGTCCACCGAAGCTTACAGAAGTGTGGAGTGATTCAATCATGTGACCCTGCTCTTCAGCTCTTTGTAACACAGCAGCAACTTTGCAGGCAGCTTCATCAGTGTGTTTTTTAAGTTCCATTTCAATTTTCTCCTGCAATCCATGCACCATAAACTGTTAGATACCCAAGCTCCTCTATAAGCAATAGCTACTTCAATTAAAATTCTTCTGAGGTACCTTGAACGCCATCTCCTTATCTTCAATCTGATCTGAAAGATTACGCACAAGGCTCCTGAGCTGAACATTCTGCTCAACTAACCCATTTATATCCTTGAAGGTCTTAATATATAGTCCCAACCAAACAAGAAATCAATGATTGATCAGTTTTTCCAAAAGAAAAAAGTTCATGTGGATGAGTCTTCCAGAAAAAGTTAAGAGGTGAACTTACAAGGCGTTCCAAGATTGCATTTTCAGGATCAGACTCCACATCCATTCCAACAGGAGCAATGGCTTTACTATCATCAACTTGGTCATGCCCAGAAGATCCACACCGAAGTTGTATATCACGACATTCCTTTAAAAGAACTGTCACCTAAAACATCATAAACAATGCTAAGGACGAGTAGGAGACTGCTTATGATGTGCAGAGCAAAAAAAAAGGAAACCATTTATCATAAACATCAAAAGTGACATTAAAGAATAAAATATATACTCAAAGAATCTTATCAAGTCCTTCCAATTACAACCAAGATAAGAAGAAAACAAGCTTTCCATAAAACTAACTGATGATGGAGGCAAAAGGTCCTCTGATCCCTACCTGTTTCTGAAGATCGACAATTTCCTTTTGAGCCAAATTGTAACCACGTTCATGCCTCCTCAAATCTGCCTGGAAAGCAAATGTATCAACTAATCAGCAAAAAGTGGCCACAGAAACAAACTACATGCAGAGTTAGATAAGTTGCAAACCTTTAATTCTTGGATTGTTTTCTCTAGGTTTGCCTGTTCAGAAAATGAGTGCTGCAATTTTTGGTTGATGACAGAGTATGATTCTACCATTCTCTCATATTCAACTGCAGAACAGCAATTCCATCAGCAAAACAAAATTTCATGCCTCAAGAGAAAACATATGTGAATAGATTGATCTTATCAAGCATTTGCTGTAATAATAACTTAAAAGGTAAAGGTAACTAGCTCAGGATCTGGATGGTGGGAATCATGAATATTAAATCACCAGTTCATTTTTTGCTCAAGTGCCTTATCTTCTAAATGGCATCAGCCTTGAGCATCATAGAGTCACCTCTATGTATGTCAGTATGTCTTCAGAGGGCTCAATCATTTTCAAGAAATCATTCAACTGAATAAACTCCCTTAATGTTGCTAGCCTATTTATACTAGCAACAAACATATATTCCTCTTAGACCAAAAGCATAAATGCATGAACTAATCAAGAAGAGTCATGAAATCTCCACGCATCTGAAAACAAATTAGGCAAGAATTTAAAAGAGAAAAAATTGGGAGAGAATCCATTAGCTTGTCAAATTTCTTATTTCACAATTTAATGTCTTTACCTCTTTCATCCAAAATTACACCTGCTTTCTCCTCTAGTTCACACAAAACCTGCAAAAAGAAAACCAGCGTGCTTAAGTAAAGTTGATGGAACAACCTGCAGAACTTAGAAAATATTTTCCAACAAGATGAAAGACATATCACAATCTGAGAAAACAAGGAGCAGGAAGAGGACAGGGGAAAGGACATCCAAAAAAGATGAAGCGAAAGGCATCTAATTTACAATGGCATGTTATCACTGGACCAGATTACCACATAAAATCATAGGTACAAGTGCAGAGCATACCCGTTGCAGTACTGCCTCAGATTCCTTCCTTCCCAATTGCTCATGGCGAAGAGCATCAACTGCTTCTTGGTACTTTGCATACATTTTAGCCAGCTAGTAGCCAAGAAAAGTTGAGAATACAAAATCAAAATTACAATAAATATGTGCCAGCTAGTAGCCATGAAAAAATGAAAATCAAAAATCAAAACTGCACTACAAGTGTGCGAGTGTAAGTCTACATGGGATAAGTATATTTGCATCAACTCACACTCCAACCGTCACGGAGCAGAGAAGCTGCTAATGCAGTTCCTGAAACACCAACTGGGATCTTGGAGACAACCATACCGTTACCATCAGCAAGATCATCATTATTGAGTGGATCCATCCATCTGCGATAAAAGAAAAAACTGAATAATGCAAATAGCAATTGAAAATTTACTAGCAAATTCCCATGTTATAATCAATTACAGGAGGGTGCCTCCATAAAACAAATCTTTGCCTATAAAATTGAATAGGTTCTGTGCTTAACCACAAATCATCATAACAATTTGATGCCCACCCCCTCCACTCCAAAAATTAAAAAAAAAATCCAGTTTTCTTCCCTCCGAATCAACCATAAGAAAACATCACTCCTCCAAATCAACAATAACAAAACAACAGGAAGCAAACCCAAGGCTTCTTCTTTAAAAGGGAAAGGCATTCCATTCCATTGAAATCTATATTAAAGCAAATGAACCAAGGTTGGTACTTTGTAAAATTCAAAAAGAAAAAAATGAAAACAATATAGACAAAGAAAAAAGCCAGCCCTCTTTAAAACATGAAACATTGATTAGCTTTGACACAATACGATGAAAAAATCCATCATGTTATGAGCATCGTATATAAATGCATATAAGATTAGCCTTGGGGCTGGTTACAAGTACAAGTAAGATGAACCAGAAAAGACCTACAAAATTATCAGGGTTAAAACTTTATGGCAAGAATATCACATAATTCCACAAGT